TGGCTCGATTCCCAGAATCCTGTAGTAAAAACCTTAGGATGGGAGAAATCAGAATCAAGTCCGTAATAAACACCCTATTGAAAGCAGATAAATACGCCAAATCCTACGAAGAACAAGTAAAGGATTGGGAAAACATAGGGGTAATCAAAGAGACCTCCTTGAAAGAATTAGACAAAAGGGGACTACCATATACGGAATTACCTCATAGGCCAGATAGCGCCAGCACCCCCCTTTGGGTCGTAATTGCCGGGAATGCAGCGGACAAAGGAAAAGCCTCCACAAACGATATACTGGAGCAGGGGCCCAATATCCTCCCCCTCTTGCCCGACATCGTTGATCAAATAAGAACTTCTCCCTGTTTTGGCACAGCTGACATCAAGAAAGCCTTCTTGCAAGTGCAATTGAAGGAAGAAGACCAATGGCTCCTCATAATGAGGTGGCCTGAAAGAAAAGATGATGGGACGTTTTTCTTTAAATTCTACCAATTTCTCAGACTACCTTGGGGCATTAATTGTGCCCCATTTGTCTTAAATGCCAGCATTCGTTTCCTGTATGAAAAGGCACAGGAGGAAGGAAAAATAACATCAGACAAGTTCAGCAAACTGACTGAGAATACTCATGTTGACGATGTTATTGTGTTCGGGGAAAACCCAGACATCGTGAAAGCCAAACTAAGGAAAGTAACAGAGATACTGAGTGAAGGAGGATTTGTTCTCAATAAATTCCGGGTCTTTCCCAGAGAAAGCAATGATCCAGTAAAAATCTTGGGGGTCAGATATTACCCCAAAGAAGATCAGATGTCACCTTGTTCAGAAAAAATTGCTGACCTCCTGAAGCACGAGAGGCTAACTAAAAGGCAGATTGCTGGTATTATAGCCAGAATCTTTGATATGATGGGTTGGGGAGCAGCCTTTGTTCTGCTTCTTAAGCTTCTCTTTCAAAGATTCAATGATGATAATCCCAAGTCGGCATGGGACGCAAAGCTCTCTATACAAGAAACTAAGAAATGGAAGAAGCTGGCACTCTCTGCCACCTTCATTCACATGCTCAAAATAGATAGACTTATAACTCCCTTGGAAAAAAGATCCCTTCACGTCTTTGTTGACGCGAGTGGGAGAGCTTTGGGAGCTGTCATCTATCTTGTATCTGGACAAACTGTGTCTTTGATCCAGGCTAAATCTAAACTAGTACCTTCTAAGAAAAGAGAGACAAACTCTCAAGAAAAGAACGAGAGCCTGAGAATTAACAGGCTGGAGTTGTCAGCCACCTGCCTAGGATTTAGGCTGGCTAAACTGAACACCTCTTCTGTAAAAATAATGGCCAACTATATTTACTTTTGGTCTGACTCCAGAGTGGTTGTCAGATGGGTATGGGCTGGCAGGTTGAACCCAGTACCATACGTACAAGAACGCATCCAAACCGTCCTATCAGGATCCATTCAAGAGAATTGGAGACATGTACCCGGAGATCAAAATCCGGCCGATTATGCTTTGAGAGGGCAACCCCTCAAGAAACTTAAAACTAATCAGCTCTGGTGGAAGGGTCCGGATTGGCTTAAAAATAGGGATCATTGGCCTGAACAACCAGAAAGAAATTCCTTGATTCAATTTAAGGTGAACATAACAGTTGGAAACTACCCAGACAAAATCCTCAAGAAAGCGTACAAGGGGACATGAGGCAACTGGGTCAAAGTTGTTTCTAGGACCATGACGTGGCTTAAGATCAGGGAATTCTTTAGGAATCGGGCAAAGAAAAGTTGCAAAAACCGGAATTCATTCCCTCCTACAAAAAGAGGGACCTACATGGGAGATGGGGTCCTTAAACACAAGCCTTTCTTAAAAAACTTCTCCCCTCTAGAATTCATGGAGGGGATAGTTGAAACTATTCATTCTGTCCAAAAATTCGGAGCCCCCACGGAATGGGAAATCCTGATTCAAGGAGGAACTATCCAGGGACAAGAGGATCTCACCTGGAACCCCAGACTTAATCTGCTGATCTCCCAAAGTAGGCAAGCAAGAGATTGAAGCACAAAGGTCCTTAAAGGACACCTGTCCAGAGCCGCTTTAGTCTTCTTGCCTCCCCCAAAAAAGGAGGGAGATCTCGGATTTATACAATCATTGTTTCAAACCTTTCACGAAGACTTGGGGCATCCTTCCCCCAACACCCTGGTCACTATCTTTAACAAAACCTTCTGGATGAAGGGATCTAGAGTATTGGCTAAACAAATACGAAATAAAAGCAACTGGTGCAGAAGATTTGACACCCGACAATATCTACCCCCTTTGGCTCCTTTGCCAGATTTTAGATATGATGGAATCATCCCCTTTAACACAGTAGGGATCAATTTTGTAGGCCCATTGGTTACGACAAATGGGGCCAAATTTTCTATCTGCGTATTTTCATGCGCAAAAACAAGAGCGATTGACCTACAACCTGTAATGAATGTCTCACTGGAATCATTCATACATGCTTACAAAACTTTCATCAACAAAAGAGACCTATCCCCTCAAAAAATGGTTTCAGACAACGCAGCCACTTTTTGGGCCGCTTGGCCCATGCTACTGAGAGCCAAACAGTTCACCATTGAAAGTCAACTGAGGGGGATAAGATGGTTCTTTAATGCCTCCCGTGCCCCTTGGTGGGGCGGGTTTTACAAAAGACTAATGAGGATGATAAAAGACAAATTAGCTCGGACTTTTAGGGGAGTCCCCTTCAAGGGAGACAACCATTTGAGATCTGGTTTGAGCTTTGTCAAACAAATGATAAACTCTAGACCTTTAACTTATATTTCGGACGACAGAAACGATCCGATGCCGGTAACCCCATCCATGTTCATTAATCCGCATCAAACTGATCCGGAATTTAACCCCCTTCTTTGTTTAAAAAAAACTGATGTTATGAAAGAAGGGGGTTTAACCCCCTTCTTTCGAAATTTTGAATTCAAAATTTCTCTTCATTTCTTTTTCCAAGAAAGAGGGGGACTGACTTTTGTAAAAAGGGAGGATCCAAACTCTGTCCAAAAAATCTCTTGGGAACGTACGCTCCCTTTTGAGAATAACTTCTTCTTGATTAAATTTGTACACCAGGTACCGGTTTTCCTAACTCCTCCAAAAAGACGTTGTGAGGGGCTATGGAGTAGCCCCGGCACAACCCAACAACTGTATTTGTTTTTGCTCACCCAGGAAAACCATTTAGCGTCACAAAATGCATCAATCACATGTTCCTCTGAGGTGTTTATATTCAGTGCTGAAAAGTCATGACCAGGAGAATTATGTGGACTGGGACATGTTCCTAAGCAATGTGAAGTTGATGCAAGACAAGTCATGTCCATTTGGGACAGAAGATCACCTGTGACAGGATGCATCATTGGCATTTACTTCTGAGTTTCTTCAACCCTTGTGTTGCAAAGTTGGGATATTTTTGCAAGATTTTGTCCCCATCATGAGGTCATCATATAAAAAAAAGATTTTTGAGCCAAGGTCCAAGTCAGGAAAAAGTCCAGTATTTCTTTTATAATCCTGCAGAAAAGTTTGGCTCAAAAATGAAAAAAATCTCCACGCAGGGTGGAGATTTTTTTCATTTTTCATTTTTCTAATTTCCTCTTTGTTTGTTCTGTCAATGGAGAGAGACTCAAAAAGTCAACTCTTCAATCATGGCTCTCATCCACTCTATGAAGAGCAGGCATCATATCCTCATACCCAGGCTCCACCAGAGCTTCATCAGCAAGCTTTGCAAATGCCAATAATCTGTCTTTCAATCAGATTGCTTGAATGATGGATTGTTTAAAGCAATCCACCTTCAGTATACATTAAAAGAGAACTATTGTATCTAAAGGTGGAAATCTCATGTACAGAAATCCATGATTTTGTATTCCCATGTATGCATTTCATTTCATTGAAACACATTTTTATGATTATGTGATGGTGACTATGATATATCACATTCAGGTTTCTTGTATTTACTTCTGTGTATTGTTATCATGTACCACACTGCTATTGGACGCAACATATGCTTGCATTAAATGCCATGTCATGTCCTTTTATTGGGAGATTCCTCTTTTGTTCTACCAGTTGATGCACTTCAGTCACTCAAGCCAGTTCTAAAAATGCAAAGAAAGAGAACCAGCAAAGTGTTCACTAACAAGGTCCCAGTCCAAGATAGTGTCAGACTGATGGGATATGTTAGTGTTAGCAAGATGGTTCTCGTAACTTGAATCCCACCCTCTAAGCCACCCTGCAGCTGCAGTCAGCTTTCATCACTCCTTTGTGGTTTCTGAACACTGAAGCTGCTGGCTCTCTAGAGGATAGATGAAGTAAGGCCATATTCACATAAAGAGAACCATCTTGCTAACACTTACATATCCCGGTCTAACACTATGTTGGACTGGGACCTTGTTTTATTCTCATGGGAATCTTATAGTATTTAGAACTCTCATCAGTTTTTTTTTTTACTTGGGAGTTGCCCACTTTTTTATTGACTACTTACAAAGTGCAATCTTCACACCTGAAATCAATTTACAAGTGAACATTTGTTGACATGTTGAACAGAAGTACATTCACAATTTTGCACATATGTCAAAATTATAAAGAGGACTAAATTGACTTGGCCAAAATAAACTGCATTCCACATATACATCTCTGTGCCATTTCACAAAGTTTTTGAACTTTCCCTCAGCACAAGCATGTCTTTGATCCATCATGCATATAGCATTACTTTACTTTTTTCATGAAATCATTCTTATGCAACGCTTTTGGTTCAGTTCTCAAACAAATTCATGTTGTTTGTTTGAAGATTGTGTGCTATTTACTGTACATTTGTTCTTCCAGCAAAAATGAAAATTAGAGTACTCAGTAAAAAGGCATCCATATATGATGTCTAAGGAACCTTTCATGTAATTTTTGTTTCAGTATTATTTCCTGTTCATGTATAATAGGCCTGAATACTTGATGAAAACAGGGTAAAATACTTCATGAAATATTATTCAATGTAAATACACCAAATATTTTTGAAGAAAAGCATGACAGCCCATCATGTTTAATGCCACCTTTGGATCATCTTCATCAAAAAAGCAATGCCTGGCGATAAAAAAAGAATAAAGAATCTGAAACTATGTGCCGAATTAAAAAAAAACACTTCGATTGCAGCACATCTTCAGAAGAAAAATCCAAGTTGTCAAACCGAAAATCGTAATCTGATGCATAAATGCTGATTGTATGATCGACGAGACCTATGATGCTCAAAATATTCTTTTTCAAACATGATGACTATTCCGATTTGGCAGTACTATATATTTTCTTGATGAGGTTTCTTCATCTTTGTCATGGGAGATTTCTAATGGCAGAAGGGGTAGTTGGGACATGCAGCAGGATTCACCCCAGCCGGGTACTTGGTCGCGTAGCCCCCGTAGTTCTTGGCAATGGCGTGCACGACAGGGACGACACCTGTGTAGCCGGATTTGAACGTGCCCACCGCGTGGTTCCCATAGATTCCGTCGTGGCAGTACGGGTAGTTGACGCACTCAGCTGGGTTCACGTTGGCCGGGTACTTGTCTCCACCTGGTGTTGCCTGCATATGCAGCGAAGGCATTATAGTATATCATTTCCTTACAACAAATCCCGTTATAACGAATAATCGATTATACTGGACAACTTATTCATTTTCTCGTGGATATGTCCACGTTGAAGAATATTCACCCGTTTATTTCAAGATTTATGGAAATATTTGCCCTTTAATGCTTCATGGCATTGAATTAAATGTTGAAATTTTCTTTCTCTGATCAATGCTTTTCTGTTTTATCTCATTATTTGGACAGGTATCCCTCATTCTTTGATTTAAAATATAAATGGCTGCAGCAGTCACACCCAAAATTTAACCAAAAACAAGGTACATGCTAAGACATGTATATACAGTACAATAATAACCACCATGGAGCTCAGCAATCATACATGAGCCAGAAAAACTATTACGAGCTCTGGTTTTAAAATTCTGATGCAATACTCTAGCTGTTGAGAGAAGAAAATTGAAATTTCTTTTGAATATCCGGCAGTTATGATTGGAATAAAAGTTTTACTGCTGCAAAACACAGCATGGCACAGATTTACCAGCAGCAGAAAGCTCACACTCACCATTTTCTCTAACTAGTACTATCAAAATGAAACCTCATGTTCCATCAATTGTGTCACTGCACAAGAGGTGATGTTTTGTTTAATGAACTCCAAGTGCCATACTATGAAGAAAGCACATGTTCTCATTTGCTCACTTCAGTTAGGCAACTTTGAAACTGGATAGTATACTTGAATGTAGCAGACCTATACATAACATCCATGCAGTTTTTTTTTCTTTGCCAACATCAGTTTTGGCCCCAAAATGTCATGCAGTAACCTTTTTCTGTATGTGAATGTAATTATTTTCAGATGTCAACTTTCTTCAAATAATTAAAGCATTCACAAGAGTCATAAAAATACTGCTTGCAAAAATAATTGAAGAAAAGATTAATTCTTCAACCTTTGTGTCCAATTGCAAAAAAGCTAGAATGGACTATCTTATTGAATGTATGTACATGTTTGCAATGTTCTGTTAGGGGAAGAAAGCTCTCATTAAAGACATAATTCTTTGCTACTGTTTTCAACATGATTGAAGAAACAATGCATTATTTAAAATTAGGGTCTAAATTTAAAAAAAAAAAGATTGAAGTATCTCATTGCATATGTGTCAATGTTTGCAATTCTGTCAACATTTTTGGAACACCATGTCCACCAGTACTAAATAACCCAATTTTCTACCTTCTGTGCAAGATAAGTGAAGAAATGACCTTTTTTTCATCACACTTTCTTTCAAAATTCTTCCATATACTCACATAAGCATAAGGGTAGGCGCTGTAGACAATTGGAGCCAGAGGGCGAACAGCATAGGTAAGCTTGTTGTAAGGGGCAACAGCATACCCAGAAGTGGGATCCACAAGTTGATTGCAGTATGGGTAGTTGGGACAGGCAGCAGGGTTCACACCAACTGGATACTTGGCAGGGAGATGTGATGCACTGCTGACTGTGACCATCAGGACAGCAGCAAAGATCAATGCAATCAGGGCCTGTCAACAAACCAGATATGTTGGCAATCATCATTTCAGGACAACAATCAAAGTTACTGTATATCCACCATAGTAACACTCGCACATTTTCAAACCGTTTTAACCCTGTTTCACCAATAAACCTTGTTTATTCTTATTTTGTTTTTTTTTTAGACTCACACAAGCTTTTATGAAATTTTATTTAAAAATTCAAATATCAGAAAAAGTCCTAGAGAAATTAGCATATGTGGGACTATCAATAACAGATATCAAATGAATGTTCTAAAAATAATATGATACAAACTTCATTGGCTATTTTTTATGATACAGTAGAAGACTAAAATTTACTCAAATATTGCGTGTACGTTTTTCCAATTGTTCAAACCCTGTTTCACAATATTTTCAGCTTCAGGCAAGCTTTCTTTCTTTTTAATTAAAAACATCGAGGCATTGCAATTTTTTCGTAAGTTTTTTTTCTAGAATATTCATTTGGTATCTGTAATTTTTTGTCCCACTTTTGTTGGATCATCTTCATGACTGTTTTGGATATTTTATTCTTGGTCCATTGCGTTAAATTCAATGCAGCATATCTTTTGCCATTCTCCTCAGTCACACCAGATTGAAACTTTCATTTGCAAAATTGGACTTTGCTAAATTTCTCAACATTTTATTTTCTTTTTCTGTGTGTTTCCGCCTATTAAAAAAGTCCTAATTTTGAAAAGCTTGAGTTCATGCATATGATGAATCATGGCTTTGGTGTAAAGAGTAGTAGAACATTATTTTCAAAATACACTATATTCCAAGTTATGAAGTGTTCAAGGAATTTTATTTTTAATGAGCTGGGAAACGTGTTCATTAGCACTGATAAATAACATTGTCCTTATTTCCTCATTTGATTCACGTGTTGCCATCGTTTACATTACTAAAATATTTCTTACCATGAATTCGCAAAATGAATTCAGTATAAAAATAGAAGAGAAAAAATTCCATGCAAAAAATGACAACAACAATAAAATGTTGTGCAAATAAAAATCCAAACGCTCGCAAATTGCCAAACGATTTCTCACACATTAATTAAATTTCACATTCCATTATTGAAGAAAAAAATTGTAAGCTGTCTTATTCATTGAGGAATCAATGAAGAATTCAAGGGAAGGAGACTCACCATTGTTTTTTTCCTCTAAAGCTGAGCTTCTGAAAACTCGAATGGAATATCAGACCACAGCAGAAGGAAGATCAAATGTTACTCCTTTCGCAGCGAAAACTGGAATGATT